TGCTATGAATCAGTATTGACTCGGTGGTAGCGAGCATGATGACTTTTAACCTGAAACTACTAAATTCCTGGATGTATATGCTTATTTATTTTTAAGACTACTTATACAAACATGTTTAGGAATAGCAATGTTTGCAATGTTTTAAAGAAAAAAAAGAAACTCGGTGGTTTTGTGGGTAAAATAAGGGAAATATGAAAATAGAAAGCTTGTAAGCCCATTTGCTTTCAGCCATTAAAATTTGATCTTTAGATAGGTTTTAGGCCATGCCTGCAAAGAAAGCTTTGAAAAGATATGCCCCACCCAGTGCTTTGGAGTACTCAGGAATCAATGGTCTTTGTCAGAAACTGGAAAAAACCTGACCTCTGGCTAGACAAGAAGAACTACCATGAGGGAGAGGTCAAACAAACATCTACTCTCCATCTTATGATTTGTTTCTCCAGTACCCCACTCCCAAGGTACCATATTGTATTAGTCTGGGTACTTTAGAGAAACAAATCCACAGAAACTCATGTAAAAGAGAGAGTTTTATATAAAGGGCAAGTGCACATAAAAAAACAAAAACACCCCAACCCAGTGGTGCCCAAGACCACAAGTCCAACATTAACCCATAGGTCCAACACCAATCCACAAATTCCTCCTCCAACTCACAAAAGACAAGCAACGATGCCGACTGCAGCAGGAAAGCCGAGTCTGTGAATGTGTAAGCATCTCAGCGCTGGCAGGGCTCTCCACACGGTTGCTCTAGCACCCAGGGCTGCAATGGTGTAGGTCCATGCAGCTTCTCCTTGAGGATGTCTTGCCGGAAGTGAGCCTTGCTAGCTGAAGCAGGGAATTGGCTAAGGCAGCAGCACTCTGGTCCGACCATCACAAAGCAAGAGATCCAAGAACTGAGCCATTTCTCTCTCCTCCCTTCAATTAACCCCACATGTGTTTATCGGCCAGGTTGGCACAATAAACTAACTCACCACCTGTACTGACTTACCCACCAATTTGACTTAAAGACACACTTAAGAATGGCTGTTGTTTGTAACCCATGGATTGCCTCTGTATGGCATTCTGGGATATTCAGTAGTAGGTGGTCTATACAGTGATAGTATCAAAAGTTTTATTTAAGTAGGTATAAGAAAACACATGTTGTACCCACTTAAATATAACATGTTGGATGTGCCTTATTCCTGAATAACCCATATTTCATTTAGAAAAATGGTAGCGTCTTTTTTTTTAATCATTATATTGGGGGCTCATACAGCTCTTATCACAATATATGCATGCATCCATTGTGTCAAGCACATTTGTACATTTGTTGCCACCATCATTTTCAAAACATTTCTTTCTACTTGAGCCCTTAGTATCAGCTCCTATTTTGTCTCCTCCCTTCCTCATGAACCTTTGATAATTTATAAATTATTTTTTTCACATCTCACACTGGCCGATGTCTCCCTTCACCCACTTTTCTGTTGTCCATCCCCCAGGGACAGGGTTATTGGTAGATCATTGTGATCGGTTCCCTCTTTCTCCCCCCACTTTACCCTTACCCCCCTGGTATTGTTACTCTCATTATTGGTCCTGAGGGGTTTATCTGTCCTGGATTCCCTGTGTTTCCAGCTCTTATCTGTACCCATGTACATTCTCTAGTCTAGCCAGATTTGTAAGGCAGAATTGGGATCATGATAGTGGCGGGGAAGAAACCATTAAAGAACTAGAGGAAAGGTGTATGTTTCATTGGTGCTATACTGCACCCTGACTGGCTCATCTCTTCCTTGTGACCCTTCTGTAAGAGGATGTCCAATTGTTTACAGATGGGCTTTGGGTCCCCACTCTTCACTCCCCCTCATTCACATTGGTATGATTTTTTTGCTCTGAGTCTTTGATGTCTAATACCTGATCCCATCAACACCTCATGATAACAAAGGCTGGTGTGCTTCTTCCATGTGGGCTTTGTTGCTTCTCAGCTAAATGACTGCTTGTTTGTTTTCAAGCCTTTAAGACCCCAAATGCGGTATCTTTTGATAGCCAGGCACTGTCAGCTTTGTTGACCACATTTGCTATGCACCCATTTTGTCTTTAGCAATCATGCAGGGAAGGTGAGCATCATGGAATGCCAGGTTATTAGAACAAAGAGTTCTTGAGTAGAGGCCTGATGTCCTTCTGCTACTGTGATATTTAACATATAAATATATGTACATGGATCTAGTTCCCTATCATTATATATAAATATATTTATATCTGTACATGCATGTATTTAGACCTCTATAAATGCCTTTTGCCTCCTAGCTCTTTCCTCTATTTCATTTTAGTAAAGTGATTTCTTAACATGGTCTCCTGAGCCAGACTATTTGGGTTCAAATTTCACTTCTTCCATTTACTAGTTGTACACCTTTAATCAAATCGTTTAACCTCCCTCTGTTTAAATTTTCTAAAAATCTAAAATGAGCATAAAATGATATCTAACTTGCCAAGTTATTTTTGATGATTATATTGCTATAATGTGAGAAAGTATATTCATGGTTGAGTAAGGATTGGGAGTGTTTATGGGAAATGAAAAATAATTACTTATAGGTATAGGGTTTCTTTTGGAGATGAGGAAATTAGTCTTTTATGTTTGTAGAATACTATGAACTGACTAAACATCACTGTAGTTTGCACTTTATGATGTGTGGATTTTATCTCAACAAAACTGATACTTTAAAAAATAATATACATTTTCTCTACTTGTCGTTTCTTCTATCTAGTTATGTATCAGGATGTGTCTATGCCTGCCTTCTTGGCCCTGATTTAGGTAGTGTGACAAGCTACATTTTCTATAATGCATAAATTGTTTATTCTAATTAGCCTTTTAAAAAGGGTTTATTCAATAAAAACAGACCTAACATGCTTTTAATTGATCAATTGAGAAAATGAAGAGAAATGAAAGCAATTAAGAAATTAACTCCTGAGCACATGAAAGCACAGAGAAGCCCAAATTTCCATTTTTTAAAACATATATTTCCATCCTTAGAAAAGGCAAATCTAACCATTTCATCACTGTACATGATAACTGTGAAAATATCCTGTCTTCAACGTATAGGTGTTTTCTCTGACATATGTCATAAAGAATTATATAAAATGCAGGTTAATTATTATATTCTTCATTATGTCCAAATTTCCTGCAGAATAAAGGTCAATCACACAGGGAAAAGTTCATCTTCCAGTCTTGTACTTGCAGACCAAGGAATGAGGTACTGAGTTACACCCCACAGCATCATTTTAGTGTTGATCCTCCATTCCCGACACACACATTGAATTTCTCAGGTGATTGAATTTCTCCCTAGTGCCTCAAACTCTCAGCTCCAGTAAGTACACTTAAGTGGTGATTATGTACGTAAGACAATAAACAAAGTATAAGAAACTCAAAATTCACTACCATTGAGACAATTCTGACTCATAGAAAACCTGTAGGAAAGAGTAGAACTGCCCCATTGAGTGTCTAAGGCTGTCCATCCAACCTTGAGCAGAAAGCCTCATTTCCCTACCCAGAGATGGGTGAGTTCGAACTGCTGGTGTTACAGGTAGCAGCTCAATGCATAGCCCAGTACAACACGTGAACGACTGAAGGTTAGACAGGTTAGCATCAACTTGTCCTATTTACTTGCTGCTTACTCATTGCCATCGAGTTAATGCTGACTCCTAGCACCCCCCACTTTGGGTTTCTGAGACTGTAACTGTTTATGGGAGTAGAAAGCCCCATCTTTTTCCTGAAGAGCTGCTGATGGTTTCAAACTGCAGGCCAGGCTGATCGTAGCCCAACACATCACCACTACACCACCAGGGCTGCTGTCAGCATTTTCCTGGAAGAATGTTTCTCTGGAATCCATCAGCTCCCATGCCCCAATGGATCAAATATACTTACCCCGTGCTTTCATAATGCCCTGGACCAGGGGTCCTCAAACTTTTTAAACAGGGGGCCAGTTCACTGTCCCTCAGACCCGTTGGAGGGCTGGACTATAGTTTTTAAAAAAACTATGAACAAATTCCTATGCATACTGCACACACCTTATTTCGAAGTAAAAAACAAAATGGGGCAAAAACACACGGCAGGCAGGATAAATGTCCCTGGCGAGGCGCATGTGGCCCACGGGCCATAGTTTGAGGACCCCTGCCCTGGACTATATTCATTTGGAAAATTTTGAATAATAATATATGTATTACTTAAAACTTATCATGTATAGTCCTGTTTCTTTGAGCATATTTTGATCTCTTTTAGGTAGGGAATTATTTCCTGCCTAGTTATACCCAAGTGGCTAACACAACAGCTGACAAAATACAAGTGCTAAACAAATGTTACTGAATAAGTGAGCAAATAAATAAATAATTTAATTTATGCCAGGCACATATCTGAAATAGATGAGGTGCAAAAGAAATGGGAAGTGATGCCGCAACTTATTCCCATGAGATAGTTGGAGTATCAAAGAATAGCATATGCAATACCCGGATACTGAGAAAGAATTAAAAATAAATGTGCATGGAAGACACAGAATATCTTATTAGTTAGTTGACTCTAATAAACGCTTGGTGTTGAATGACGTTAAGTCATTTTAGGTGCTATTTCCTCTTCAGGTAAATGGAAAACTGGCTAATTATTTTGGTAAAAACATGAACTCTCAATATAGTAGTTGCCTTTATGTAGAAAAGACAGAATTGATGTATTCAATTCCATTTCAGTTATGCTGTCTTGAGAAATGAGGGATTGGACCATTGCATATTTGCATCCTGAACAGGTATTACTGTGCAACCATCAAAAAATGAAACGAAAAACCTTGTAGAGTTCATCATGTATTACCAATAGAACCTTCCACAACCTCCTACTAGCCCTCTCAAAAAGAGAGAAAGAACCCATTCAATTTGATAACAGAAAAAAAGTGATTTAAAAATGCACATTTTATGCAAATGAAGACATTCCCTTAATTTGATGAAAGCTTAAAAATGCCCATTCAGAAATTCATAAAGTCAAGATCAATCTGTTAAGGCAAAATAAACCAGCAAACCAGCAATATTATTTTTATTTAATCCTCTTCAAAGACTTATATACAACAATAAGGAGTCACATTCACCAATTTCATTTTTATAAATCCAGCAGCAGTCTCTGGCATACGAGGAGACTAAGAGGTCCCTGGAGACACAACAGTAATCTTCAGTGAGTGGATTCTTGCTCCATTCAATAATCCAGGTCTTCACGAAGGTATCTTAAAGGCTGAACTAAAGCCATAAGTAGAAACATGTTATTTTTTTTCTTCACACATATACTCATGGACAAGTGCATTACTTTATAGCACACACATACATATACACATACACATAAAGGCACAGAGTGAACCTCACACGTATTTTAGAGAACATGCAATGATTTTCAAGCACACTGGAACCTGGAAATGTCTTTTTGAAAGAGCATTTCCACATGATCCTGAAGCACTGGTTCAGTAGTAATTACTCTTTAAGGAAAACAAACAAACAAACTTGGGTTAGCATTCGTCCCTGCAGAATAACATTCCTACATTTGAGATTAAGAAAGTTTATGGTCATAATAGCGAAGCCAGTTACGATACACCTTACTCTACACTCTCTACTAACTTTCACTCCAGACCCCAGTGTTTCCCACTGCCTGCTTCAAATGGGTCTATAGTTCCTAGACCCTCTAAGTAAAGTGTAGGCTACCCTGGGCGCCTATAAAGTCTGATCACAGAGCTGTTTCCTCTTTTGGATTCTCCCTTTCACGGGCACGTAGATGAACTGTGTGTGGTCTTCCTGGGGGCTCCTTCCAGACCTTGTGAATATTAAACTGCCATTTCATTTCCTCGTTTTGGGATTGAAAGTTGGGTGTTGAAGGGAACCCCACGTGCGTTCAGGTGGCTCCACCAGCTGACCTCAGAGGGGTGATTGTGTTTCTTCCTCCAGCGGTCTCTCGTTTATCTCTTCATGTTCATCTTCTATCAAAACCATACAAATCCCCAAACAAGCAGTTACCATCCATGGTGACTGCATGTTTCAGAGCAGAGCTGGGTCTATGGTTTTTTAAATGACGGTGGTCTTTCAGTAAAGGAGCCTGGGTGGTGCTCTAAGACAGGAGTTGGAATCACCTCAAACTCCAGGGTCAAAGCTCACCAGCCGCTCAGCTGGGGAAAGATAAGGCTCTGTGCTGCTCCATTAAGTATTTACAGTCCTGGAAACCCGACATGGAGCTGCTGTGGGCGGGCATCTCCTGGAGGTGGGTTTGAATCTTTCAATAAATCGCCAGGCCTTTCCTCCGATGCACCTCTGTGTGGAATAGGTTATTGTATATTCAGTATTCTTCACCAATACCACCATTCAAATACACCACCTCCATGGTCTTCCTTCTCCATTGTCCAGCTTTCACAAGTGTAAGAGGCAACTGAAAATACTGTGGGTTGGGTCAGGTGCATCTTTGTCCTCAAAAATGGCATCTTTGCTCTTAACACGTTAAAGGAGTCTTGTGCGGCAGATTGGCCCAATGTACGGCATCATTTGGTTTCTTGACTATTACTTCCATGAACTTTGATTATGGTATCAAGTAAAATGAAATACTTAGCAACATCAATCTTTTCTCTGTTTATCAGGATGATGATGAGTAGTATTTTGAATATGCTGTGCCCTTTGCATGGAATTATTTTTTCATTCATTTTTAATATTTAACTTGAGCATCACATCTTCACAATTTCCTCCAACTTTCTTAGGCACCCATAGCTACTTCCTTTTCTGTATTACTGTAATATTTTGTACATATTTTCCAAGGTGTGCAGATAAAAGTCTCATCTGTTGCATAGTCATCTATAAAATCTCTTTCAAATGTTTACTCATCTTCTACTTAGCTCCATTGTGATTGCTTAAAATCTACATCTAATTAAGAAGGAATTGAGGTTTATATTTATAAAATGTTTCCATGTGTTCTGAATTTCCATACCTGAGGGTAAGTGAAATTGCTACAAAATCCTAAAAACCTTCATTAAACAAAACTATCAAACTGTGAGGCGGCTGTTTCCAGGCACAGCAGCCACGTAAGCCGATGTGCTTCTGAAGAGAGTACTGCTATTTCTCCAACACTTCTCCTCTCCGTGTGCCCTACTGTGCTGGCTTGCCTGCCGCCGTGATGCTGGAGGTGAGGTCACCGGTGTCTCAAGCACCAGCAGGATCAGTAATGGTGACCAGATTTCAGCACAGCTGTCAGCCTAAGAACAAACTAGAAAGAAGCAATGGGTTGTACATTTCTGTAGGACTCGCCACGGCAGGGGAATTGCAGGGGAGCATTTTCTGATGTAGTGCCAGAAGATACACTCCTCCGGTGGGAAGGCACTTCCATTTGCTGGTGGGGCATGATGCAAAAGGAGAAGAAAAAGGTGGAAGAAGCAGACAGAAGGAATATACTATTACTTTACCAAAAAACAGCTGCTTAATGTTCAACCAGTTAAAGAAATGGCGTGTCCCCCTCTGGTTGATTGGCACTTTTTCTCTTTATGTTATAAGTGGTTTTTGTTTATTTGTTTGTTTTTTACTGGAGAAACAAATGCAAGGGATTAAGAGGTAGTATTTGATTAAAAGTATAATGAGTTTTATGAAATGAATAGATAAATACGCCAAGGAGAGTTGCATCTAATTTTTTGTACCTGTGGTTGGAATGAACATTAATGGGTGCTGAGAATGCACAATTACACAGATGAAGGTTTGTTTTTTTTTTTTAATTAAGGAATGTAAATTAGTGATTTCCACATTAGTTGGCTCCCCAGTTGTCCATCGTTGAGAAAACCTTGGTTAAAAGCACCATTTTAACAACTGATCCGCCGAACTGAACAAAAAATTAGGTATCAGTTCTACTGGGTCAGTGCAAACCAGCCGAATCCTACCCTTGAGTTGTAAGAGCCCCCAATAAAATGATCTGGAAAAAAAATCCTCTTAAGCAGCTTCGATCTTGCCTAAACTACTGAAGGAAAGATCAGCTCTTTTACTTAGCTAATTTTCACAGAGTGTTTTCAGTAGCAATTAAGGCAAAAGCTTGTTGAGGCCAAGATGTTTGCTTACAATGGAAAATGCTGAACCATGTGAGATTCCAACTTCCGTAGCTATCATAAAATTTACAGCCATTTCCACAAGTTTCATAACTTCAGCCACAATTTCCTCATGTGTTGAGGATGACAGTCTTCCCTTTTCTTGGCTTACATGCGACATCTTCATGACTCTTTCTCAAAACTCCTGATGCAATGACAGTTTTATGTGGGGCCGCCTTCCTGTAAACTTGTTGCAAGCCTTTCAGGATTTGGAAAGATGTCCACTTGAGTTTTGTAAAAGCTTGATTAAGTAGCCTTTACCTCAAAGTCATTTCTTTGCATGTCACAAAAAAGTATTCTTTCTCTCTTTTTGGAAGCACCTTGAGGAGACGAACTCACTGCCATCGAGTCCACGCTGACTCCTAGTGACCCCTGCGGGTTTCCCAGACTGTAACTGTTTGCAGGAGTGGAAAGCCCATCTTTCTCCCACAGAGGGGTGAGCGGTTTCAAACTGCCAACCATGTGGCTCACAGCTCAACTCGTAACCCCTGAGACAGCTTGTCTGCAAACCATCTGCTGATTTCAGAGACATGTTTCAACATGCTTTGTTTGGAATCAATCTATGCATGTATGAACTGGAAATCCCATTAGCAATACTTTTTTCATTTATCTCATATAGTCACATAAAAATTCAGTTCAGGTATATTTACTCACACATACATATATGTATATATATATATATTTATATTCTTTCCAATAATGCTCCCAAATTATATGTACATTTGGAAGCAAATTTTCTTTTGGTCAAATGTTTGTAACACATTTTTAATACATTTCTCTAGACAGTTTCAAAGTGAATTAATGGTGAAATCGACTGCATGCATGTTTTAAATAAACAGGAGTTTTCAAGAATTATCTTATTTTGTTATAAAAAAATAGATTCATTTATTTTCCAAGTTGTGAAAAGATGAAGGGTATTTATTCATCTTAATAAGACCAAGTATAATTTTTAGTTACTATATGTATAATTGTTAATTTGATTTACCTGTACTTTTCCCATTAAAGACTTTTCCTAATATAAAGACTTTTCTATAGTAATGTCCTAGTTTAATCAGATATTTATATAGTTTTGTGTCATTTTTGTATATCAATTTACTTTTTATACCCATTATCTCTAAATTACTGGATAAATGAACTTTTGCATTTTTATAACTTCTACTGCCTTGTTAGTAAAGTCTCAAAACATTATTATTCAATGAATGTTCATGGCACTATGCAGGTAATTTTTGTCCTTCAAATTAAAATTTTAATTTCAGTTCATTTAATGAAGTATCTTTCATGTGTATACATGAGAACGTTATTGAATATGAGCCTTAAATTGATGTTTGGAACCATTATTTTTCATATATTGCTAGCAGCCTATACGGAGGGACATGATAATCAGTAGTCAAAGTAAGATTTGATGGAAGTAGATAGTGAGAACACTTTTAACTACCTTTGTCCCAGTAATGATTCAGCAAACTGCCTCTTTTATTTCAATATCTGAATTTATTCCCTGCTCTTCTGATAAAAAGTTTCCTTATTATCCTTTGGCATAACACTCAAAGTCAATTCCTCACTTCTTCTCATCTACTCCTAACAAAGGCATCATGCCACCACCATGGCCAAGAACTTCAGGCAAAATACTGATTGAGATCAAAGAAGTTCTCGGGAACATATATGTATATGTATTACATAATGATAATGAGTAAACTATCACTCACCTCACTGGGCTACCAATTCGCATTTTCCTCTTTAGTATGCTTCAGAATGGTTACCTTTTTCATTTCAGACACAGGAAGAGATTTAGACACAGAAATTAGTTCAATAGTATTAAAATCATCTGAATCATGAAAGCAAGTATAGATTTACTGGAAAATAGACCAGATCTCCCCTCACAGTGCCCCAGAAACTGTTTGAACATTTAGAAATGTGATCCACAATTAGGAAGGCCAGTGTGATTTAAGAGGCACCTTGTCGTTCCCATCCTTTCAATATGTGTTCCTGATACAGGAGCAGCAAATTCTAAAATTCAACCCAAATTCCTTGGGTTGAAGAAGTGGGGCAGGCACCACTCAGAGGTAAGTCACACTGAGAAGGCATCAAGCTTTCATGAAGTTAGGACAGTAGATAGTTTTCTTCCTCACTAGTAGAAAGAGGCATGATGCACCGGAAGTAAGGCTAGTCTTGTGGATCATGATGGCTTTAGATGGGAAAAAATGTGTAAACGTTTTATGCTTTTAGACACTTAGGGACAAGATGGTACATGTCAAGTCAGAGAAAGGAGAGTGACAGGAAATCAGAATAAAAGAGATTGTGAAAAATAACACTGAGCATATAACTTTTCAGAAGATTAATTGCTGTTTTAATAAAATGAAGTCCAACCCATAATCTTCTGCTGCCTAGTTCTTTGTTCTGACAGAAATACAGAGCCTTCACCATGATTCCAATTCTGATGTTCTCTAAGGAGGACTGTTAACTGCATCCTTGCCTTTGGGCTAGCTGTTATGTGTCACAATCCTCTGGTTACAAAGTGTCTCAGTCTCAGCTCCATCTACTGCTGCATAAAACCATGGACTAGAGACGCCCCCAAACCACACAGACCTGAGGAATTCACCAGGTCCAGATCATCTTCCTTCAGGGAAGAATTCATCTCCCGGTATTGAATTTGGTGGACAGAATTTTCTCCTCTGGATGACACTGGTAAAAAAGACTCTCATTAGGGATCAGCACATCCTAATTCAACTTTCCATCACTTCTGTGTGCTTTTTACAAGCGGTGTAAAAATATCAACTCTGCATTTATGCTCTTGGCTTGTTTCCATCCCATTCCACTACAAAAACAAAAACAAAACAAAACCTTTCCCTAACTGACATACACCTAATCGAATAAACGTGTGACCAAATCTTCTCTGTTGAAGGTATCCAACAGTCTTCTCTAGTTCACTGGCACTTTGCTAAGATTTCTCAAAAACCCATCCTCTCCCTCCAATCATTTGAGAGAGATTTAAAACACTGGACTGTTTACTCTCCCTGTCAGTAATGTCCTTCTTCAACCCCTCCTACATCCTGTTACCAATGAGGTCTTTCTAAATAGCACCTTGATGGTAACTGTCCCCTATATAACACTCTAACTATTCATCTTCCGCTGTGAAATATAGTTAGGTCTTTCTCTTTTCTAGTCTCATCAGTAGCTTTCCTCCTTATACTCCTCTGTTACGAGCGCCCTCTAAGAAATGAAAACAAATCACTGTATGTGCTATCCTCTGTGCTTCTCTCTACGTGAGCATGGTTTCCTCGTTCCCTAGAAGCCCTTGACCCAAATCTTTGAACTCCTATCTTAAAATTTGGCATAAAAGCCTCCTGTAGCTTCTTATTATACTGCTTTGGACTATTTTGTCATTCACTCAGATTTATGTATAATACATTGCAGTTATTCTGTTTCCTCTAAACTTGAAGCTCCACGAAGACAAAAAAAACCTTATCTACATCTGTATCTTCAAAGCCTCCCATCCTGCTTAACAGAACAGCAAAATCAGTCATAATGATTGCACACTACATGCATAAAAGGTTTGGGCAGTTCCATAGTGTATATTCATTATGATCTATCTGTTCCACAATGACTCAACTACATGCACATATAAAGTCCAGGAATCATTAATATGCCCAAAGGCCTGTTCTCTTTTGAAATCATGTTTCCTCTGTGCTTAGAAATTGCTCATTTCTCTCCTAGGCCCATTCGCTCTGGGCAGTTTTTACTTGAATCTGCAATGTGTGTGTGTGTGTGTGTGTGTGTGTTATCCCGAGGACTCCTCCATCCTGCTGCTACAGTATGTGGTTGCTGTTAGTTGCTATTGAGTGGGCTCTGACTCCTGGCAGCCTTCTGCAGAACAGAAGGAAGGTCGCCTGGGCCTGTGCCCGGCGTGTGTTCAAGTCCATTGTTGGGGCTATTGTGACAATTCATCTCCTGGAGGGCTTTTGTCGTCTTTTACTGACCCTCTAGTGCGGTGCTTCTCAACCTTCCTCATGCCAAGACCCTTTCATACAGTTCCACATGCTGTAGTGACTCCCCCCCTAACCATAACATTATTTTCATTGCTACGTCATCACTGTCATTTTGCTACTGTTGTGAATCGGCGACCCCTGTGAAAAAGGGTCGGTTGAACCCCGAAGGGGTCGCGACCCACAGGTTGAGAACTGCGGCTCTCGTGGTTGCTCTTTGCCTGATGACGTGATGATATCGTGTGAGCACATGGAAACAAACAAGTAGCCAAACTCATCGCCTTTGAGTGGATTCCTCCTTGTGGTGGATTCCTATTCAGAGTGCAACTGCCCCTGATTCCCGAGGCTGTGACTCTCGATGGAAGCAGAATGCCCCACGTGCCGCTTTCAAAGCCGCTGGGACATTCATACCACCAACCTTTGGTGAGCAGCCAGACGCTACATGAAACACAATTTGGCTCAGACCTGTAAGTCGCTGTTGCAGTCTTCGCTTCTGCTTCCACAGGAGGAATGCAATGAGAAGGGCCAAGAACATGACTCCCAGGATGCCCAGGACAATGGAGGCGGAGTGACCTAAGCAAAAGTACATTCAACAGAAATGATATAACAGTGTAGTTAAGACCCAGGTCTCTAGTTACTCTCTCTCTCCCTTAGGTAAGATACCAGATGCCTGAAGTAAGTGTCAAATCTCAGGAACATTGTGGAGTTCCAAATAATGCAAAGAAATAACCCACGGGCATAAACTCTGTGATGTACCTGTGGAAACTGGTGATGTTCTGGTCACTGCAATTCCTATAGGAGAAGAGAGAAAGATGTTTAGCTTTAGGAATAAAATACAGATGAAATATTTCTATTTCCTTGTCTAAGCCCTTCATACTTCTCAAGTAAGTAACTTGCTTCTTTTCATTTAAAACTAGAATCCCTTTGTTTTTCTCCCTTAGAATACTTCTATCTATTCCTGCATCTACTTTAGAGCTAATCTAGAATGTTATCCATAACAAACAAACCAGAGGTGGGAGAGAAGGTGTGGGGGGGGAAGGGAAGTCGTGGGTTAGAGGGAAGACAGGTATTCACTTGGGTGGAGGGGAAGACAATATCTAAGAAGAGGCAGATGGGTAGATGGAAACAGAGCAAGTGTTAGGGAGGTCTGACAAATTGTTGAATGCAAAAATGATGATCTGCTCTGTAAACGCTCACCTAATTCACAACAAAGAATAACAAAACAAAACAAAACAAAACAAAAACAACAACACCACCAAACCTACTGCCTGAGGGTAATTTTGACTCAGGCAGAATCACCTCATTGGATGAACAAGGCTGTCAATCTTCTCAGAAGACTACTACATTGATACCTAGGAGTGGCTGTTGGCTTTGAACCACTGACCTTTTAGCTAGCAGTTGAGCATTTTAACCACAGTGCCACGAGGGCTCCTTATTATCATATAACCTTAGCTATATCCCTATGTATGTATGTATGTATGTATGTATGTATGTATGTATCTATCTATCTATCTATCTATCTATCTATCTATCTATCTATCTATCTGTCTGTCTCTCTTTCTGTCTATCTGTCTTCCTCTCACTCTCGCTTGCTCGCTGACATGTACTTCTTTGGTGAAGGTCAATGTGTTCACAACAAGCATTTTCATTATTCCTTCAGAGAGAAGCATCATGAGTCTCTCCCCCACCAGTGAGGATACAACCCACTTTTGGGAAATGCACTTAGTTGCCCACTCCCTCATAACTTCCAGAGGCTCCAGACCTAAACACTCCACACCGGCATCCTCCTTGTGTCCACAGTCACTGTGCCCCCACGGTCTGGCCGGACAATTCCACAAGGAAGTCTCATTTCCTCTGCACTTCACTTCATTGAGCCAGATGGGTCCAGTGCCTGGACCAAAGTGTGCTTCCTTTAGTGCCTTTGAAGCTGAGCCACAGCCCAGCTGTTGACACACCACTTCTGCATCTTTCAAGTCCCAGGAGTCATCGCACACAGTCCCCCAGGAGCCTCCATGCCAGATTTCCACACGTCCAGAGCAGTTATTGGCCCCTTCTTGAAGTCTTATCTTGTCTGAAAAATCACAGACACTTAGATTATTCACCATCTGAGAACACAAATGTGTCTAAAAAGTAACAGGAAGAGAGACTTGAAACCATTTTCTTATAATCTCCACTTTAAAGCATGTTTATTTAATGTCCTTTAAAAAATATATATTTTACAAGTTTATCTTTTATGAAAGTATGTAACCTGAGCATATTTCTTCCTGGACATTAGAATAGCGTGACTCAGCAAATGTCAATTAGATAAAACATTGTCAAATGTATGCTACTAAGTCCTTTGAAATAGAGGAGGCTCTGAGAGATGTGGGGATACATAAAACCCTTCTTCCAGTTTCAGATGTGGTATAAGGAACTACTGAAGGATTAGATCCCTGGTGGCATAACGGTTACATATTGGGTGTTAACTGTGCCCTAGCCCCTCCAAGGATAGAAAAAACTTCCCTAAACACTGAAAGTTTAGGAAACTCACAGGCGCTGTTCTACCCTGTCCCATAGGGTCCTTATGAGTTGGCATTGACTTTATGACAGTGAATTAAAAATATACATATATTGAAGGATTGATCGTTCTGCCTGATTTTCATGTCATATTAGCACAGTAAGACAATGCTGTTTGTTGTGGTAAAGTCAATTCTGATTCATGGTGACCCTATGTGTACAGAGTCCAACGACTCCCTCCAGGTTTCCAGGCTGAGACAAAGCAGACTGCCAGGGCTATATTCTGGGGGTGGATTTGAACTGCCAACCGTTGAGCTCCTAGTTGAGTATTTAACCATTTGCACCATACAGGGACTCCTAGCAAGATACTACTTGTGGGGAAAAGGGGAGGTAAAAGTAAGCTAGACCATGCAGTAGTCAAATATTCAATCTTTGTTTTCATTCGTTCACAGAGAAAGAAACTGAATGAGAATTTCACTGGGAGACCACTGGCCAAAAGCAGATCACTGGGAGAAGAATATTCTTATACCCCAAACCCAACCCACTGCCATTGAGTCCCTTCCAACTCATCAGGACTCAGTATCACTTTCCAAGGTGCCAAATCTTAATGGAAGGAAAGAGCTTCATCTTTCCCTCACAGAGCAGCTGGTGGGTTTGAACTACGGACCTTGTGGTTAGCTGTCCAAAGCTTACTAGACAGTGCCACCAGGGCTCCTTTTGAATCCTTCTAGGCCAAATGAAATGAAGCCTGTTTTGCCATCCAGGTAGAACAGGTATTAAAACCAGAGATTTCCTATCCCGACTTGATTAGCTTTAACAATTTAAATTGGTTGGAGAAGGGTAAAATAAAACCTAATGGGTTTTTTCAGAAGATGATAGTGGAAATACAGAGTGGTATTACCATAGAGACCATTGGGTACTCACTGGCGCATGTGATCCAGGTCTCTTCTGAAGGGTTAGACATTCTCCTCTTCCATGGAGATGATGAACACTGCCACAATGTGTCAGGTCCTTTTGGACATTGAACATGGTCCACCCACATGGGCCTGGGTAAGGTCGTGTCTGAAGGTGCAGGACTGACACTCCCTTTGTCTGCACAGCCCAGTTGCCTGCATACGACTCCCACTGTGGTTGGAGACATCTCACTACTGCCAACGCCGCCCCAGGCTCCATTGTAAAACACCTCCAGACGCCCTGCACAGGACTCTCGGCTGGTCTTGCTGGCCAGCCTCAGAGCCATGAACTCTGGCGTAAAATAGAGAGGTAGCAGTTACACATCTTTTCTGAAGATTCGGAGAACTCCACCCTTTACCCCAATGGGACAATCATTTTCAACTTCACTCTTCAGTAGCTTCTTCATGATTTAGTAACTTTTAGTAAAACACAATGTTCATTCTACAAAATATTTTTATTTCTTTCTAGTGCTGGGCTTGGCACTCAGGTACCTCTTTAGAGTAGGATCAATAACTAATTTTCCAGATTCCCATTCAAAGACTTGTAGCGGTTTCCAGCTGAATAATTTCGATTGTCTGTTTCAATTGCTTTTTTTAAATTAAATGAATTAATGGTTTGTTTATTTGTATTATTTTCAGGTCAACATTCAACCTAACTCAATTACCTTACTACATTTTCAATATCGGTAATGAAATGATTTTTCAGGTCCTAGTGTGAAACATGCTGGAACTTAATCTCTGCTCCCTGTGCCCTACCATTTCCTGTAAATCTGCAAAGATATGCAGCTGATTTTTGGAATATAAAATTGTCTTCGCTTTATTTACACTAGAATTTCTTTTCGTTTTTCAGTTTTATTGACATATGATTTCCATAGCGTACATTTCGATGGCTTAAACATATTAAAAGAGTTGTGCAAGCATTGCTACAATCAATTTTAGAACCTGTTCTTACATTTTTGTGCTCATTATGATTACCTCCCCACCTACCTCCAGTCTCCCCTTACCACGATCTCAAGAAACTAATTCAGTTACTGTCTGTATAAATTTACCTCTCCTGGAGTTCATATAAAGAAAATACAACTTCCCCTGTTCTCCCCCCACCAACAACAATCACAAAATAAACCACAGAAAGATCACAACCCAAAAGAAATCAGAAAATAATAAAAACTAGAACAACCTTAAGCTTGGTCCCAAGGGAGAACAAAGGATAAGGGGCTCAATTGTAAACTAATCACATCAGCCTGGAGACACTTTCCAATGTATTCTCTCTTCTAGCTAGGTGAGTCACATGTCTAAATAATTTTTTCAGAGAGTAGAGTCTTATTGTGTGGCTCTTTTATTCTTACAATTTCCTTGATAGTTCAAAATGAGTGAGCAACAACAACAACAAAAATAAATATGAAGTACTGGGCTCCTTTGAAAAAATCACGTAGATGATACCGAAAAATCAACAACGTATTGGGAGCAGGGAAATCAGATGGGTGGAAATGTAACAGCTAGAGTGGAATTAAAGCCAATGCATTGTGACAAAGATAACCAGTGTTACTGAACAACAGGTGTAGAAATTGTTGACTGACTGGAAACCCAAACTGCTGTATAAGCTGCACAGAAAGCAGGATAAAATACAGGGTTTTGGGGCTTGGGGTTTTTAAGTGAATGACCAGGAATGAAGACACTAAGCGTGAAAACCAAAATTTTGTGTGTGTGGCTTTAAAACCAAAGAGCTCCTTTCCTATATTTTTGGTTTTGCTGTGCATGTCTCTACCTGCTTTATGTCATTAAATAGCAATGGTATCACAAAATCTCCTGGCAGATAGAATGATGGATTTCCACTAGTAAGTGAATCATGGTATTATTTCCCCCAATATTACAGCCGAACATGTTTTTCCACTTCCACAATAGTTTCTAAACCTGCCATGCATACAAAGGAAGAGCAACGCTCTCGTCGGGCAAAGTTTGTTCTTAGAACAGGTATGCCTTCCTTATCCGCCATGAAAAAGCACCTGGAACCGGACATGGTCCTTTTCTCTGAAGAATGGTGCACTGAGTGGATTTCTTCTCCTCTTCTTGAATATGCTTTTGGATTATTACATGGTGCCATTGAACTCTTGGCCAGCATGCAGCTCCATGTTTTATAAAACAAATTCTCACGTGTGTGTGTGTGTGATTTTCACAATGTGCAAGGCTGTTCTGGATTTTTCCCTTTTAAATATTTTGCATATGAGGCAGCTCTAACTGATCAAACCCACACTTCTGAGATTCTGGCTTTTGTAGTCATTTCCTTTGCTTTTCAAGGACTTCTCTCAGATCAGTACTCTGCCTGACTCCCCTCTGCCCCGCCTTAGCCCTGTCCTATATCACTGTGACCAGAGAGTATATGTAGACTTTACCTGAGCATATCACTCCTGCATCTTCTTTATGCCTACAGTTGTGTCGCCCCCAGCCGTGTGAACGGCACTGCCAAATGTGAGATTCTTTTCCACTGCAGTCCAGCTCATCCAGCCAGATGGGTCCCGTCCCTTCCCCAAAATGACCTGCGGTTGTGGCATTAATGGCCACTCCACAGGCCAGCTGTCTGCACACCACATGGGCCTCATTCATATCCCAGCTGTCATCGCAGACGGTGCCCCAGGAGCCCTCATGGTTGACCTCCACTCTCCCAGCACAGCGACCGCCTCCATTGACCAGGCGAAGTTGACCACTCCCTAAGAAAATAATTTAAAAATGAATTCTATGTATTCCTAAAGACAGAGACCCTCGCAGCACAGTGGATTACACATCGGTGTGTTAAGCCCAAGGTCAGCAGTTTGAATTTACCAGTCGCTCGGTGATGAGGCTTCCTGCTCCCATAGAGGTCTGCAGCTTCCAAAGCCCAAAGGGACAATTCTACTCCACTCTGTACGGTCACTATGGGTCGGGATTGACTTGAGGGCAATGGACTTTATTCCTAAAGGTTGAGGTCACTTTCCTAGGCTGGTCAATGATTCTCACCTATGCAGACAGCAGCACTTTCTTCCAGCGTGGGGGGAGCGCTCGTTGGATCCGAGGAGGATGTGTTGCACAGCTGTACTGTCTGGGTCTGGTTTCCTGTGAACACCAAGTTGCTTAGTCATTCAAGCCCCAAAGGGTTAAGAGGAAGAAAGCAAGTCAGGCGAAGCATTATACAAATGCGCTGGAGACAGTCAATGTTTTCAAGAAAGAAAGAAAAAAAGAACTGAGGGTCAACCACATGGGAGCAAGGTGCTTCGGAAAAAGAAGTCCTGGTAGCATAGTGGGTGAGGAGTGGGACTGGTAACCTCAAGGTCAGCAGTTAGAAACCACAAGCTGCTCCGCTGGAGAACGATGAGGCTTTCGACTCCCGTCAAAGGTCCCACACTTGGAAACCTACAAAGACGGTTCTCCTCTGTCCTACAAGGTCGCCATGAGTTGGGACAGACTTGATGGCAGTGATTTTTTAATTGCAGGTATTTTGAGGAAGACATGGCATATAGTCAGTACAAAAGAATTTCCACTGATCAGCTTCCAATTTGTTTTACTCTGGCTTGTATGCTGCTCTGATGCTGAAAACTACACTGCCAGTATTTCAAACACCAGCAGGATTGCCCAGAATTAATAGTTTTCAGCAGGGTTTCCAGACTAAGTAGAAGGAAGAAACTGTCCAATTCTGAAAAACTAGCTACTGAAAAACTTTGAGAATAACAGTGTTACATGATCTGATACAGTGCTAAAGGATGAGCCTTTCAGGTTGGAAGATACTCAAAACATGACTCAGGTTGGAAGACTCCTCAAAGTAGAGTCGACCTTAATACGTGGACGAAGCAAACCTGTGGGGACCTTCATTTGCTGACATGGCATGATCCACAATGAGAAAAAACAGCTGCAAAGGCCCATTCATAATCAGAACGTGGAATGTCCAAATTATGAATCTAGGAAAATTGAAAGTGGTCAAAATGAAATAGAATAGTTGAAGACAGATATCCTAGGCATGAGCGATCTGAAACGGACTGATGTCCATGTGGCCTACCATGCTGGGAATGACAAGTCGAAGAGGAATGACAGCCACATTCATCGTCAAAAGTAGCACTACAAGATCTAGTGTAAAGTACAATCCTGACAGGGATAGAATGAAATGCCTATAAGCAAGACCAATTAATACAATTTTTATTCAAATGTATGCACCAACTACTAATGCTACAGATGAAGAAATGGAAGACTATTTTTACACCAACTTCTGCAGTTTGAAATGGATCAAACATGCAATAATGATGCATTCATAATTCCTGGTGATTTGAGCCAGAACCTGGTGGTCTGTAGACCGAGATGTTTCAACATGTGCAATAATGGAAGCACTCTAGGTCAAGTACTTTGGAAGAAAGCTACCCAGCACATGGACTGGAAGAGATCCATATTTGTGCCCATTCCAAAAGGTGGTCCAATAGAATATAGAAATTATCAAATAATATCTTATCATTAATGTCACAAGCAAGTAAATTTTACAGAAGGCAATTAAAAAAGCTATTGTAGCAGTACAACTGTAGTGAACTGCCAGAAATTCAAGCTGTATTCAGAAGAGGATGTGGAAAAAAGATACAGCAGGAAATACCAGAAAGATCGTTTCTTGTGCTTTATTGACTATACCAAGGCATGCAATTGTGTGAATCATAACCAATTAAGGATAATATTGTGAAAAACAGGAATTCCAGGCACTTCACAGTGTTCGTGTTGAACCTGTGCATGGACCAAAAGACACTTTTAAAAACAGAATAAGTGAACACTGCATGGTTTAAAGTCAGGAGAGGTGTGCATCAAGATTAAATCCTTCCACCTTACTCAGTTTGTGAGCTGAGTAAATAATCAGAGAAGCTAGACCATATGAAGACAAATGCAGTGTCAAGATTGAAGGAAGGTCAGTAACAACTTGCAATATACAGTTGGCACAATTTTGTTTGCTGAAAGTGAAGAGGAAGAGGAAGTAAAGAGGAAGTATTTACTGATGAAGATAAAAAAAAAACTATATAACCTTCAATATGTACTACATTACAACATAAAGGTAACAAAAATCCTTATAAGTGGACCAATAAACCACAGTGTGTTAAACTGAGAAAAGATTGAACTTGTCAAGAATTTCATTTTACTTGCATGCACAATCAACACCCATAGAAGCAGCAGTCAAGAATCAGACGATGGGCAAATTTCTGACACCAGGCCCCTGAACGTAGAGATGTCACTTTAAGAACTTAGGTATATCTGACCTGAACCACGATACTTTCAATGACCTAATATGCATTGGAGAGCAAACAGAGAAAAGAGAATACGGAAGATGCCTTTGAATCATGATGTTGACAACGAATATAGAAATTACCAGGAACTGCCAAAAACTGAGCACATTGGTAATGGAAGAATAACAGCCACAATGCTCCTTAAAACAGGGGTCAGCAAAAAAAAAAAAGACTCTCAACAAGATGGATTGGTATGATCACTACAATCATGGCTGAGGATGAGGCCGGGCAGGGTTTCCTTCTGTTTGCACAGAGGTTGCTACGGGCCAGAACCTGCTTGGCAACACCTAACCACAAGATAACGATGAGGTCCATGAAAATGAACTTCACCATCCTTCTTTAAAGACAAACGAGGGTAATATTCTGGGACGCTTGTCAGAGGGTCTCTCAAAATGGACCATTTCTCTTTCTTTTTGTTTTTCATCCTCATCTGTACAACTGCGCTTAAGGCACACCACCATGCAAGAAGTCCGTCGCCGGCTGCCTGGCATTCTCTTACCTGAGCAGATGACTGAAGCCACTTCCCCGGCGGAACAAAGTGGTGCCCCCAGTGCAGTGACTGGACAATCTCCCATGTGCTGCTCAGTCCCAAGGCAGTGAAACACATGCCTCCGGATCTGCCCATTTCCTTTCCCAAAATGTGCTCCTCCGGGGACAGAAAGGGCGATTCCACATTTAAGCTGCTTGCAAATGACATGGGCATCTTCCATGTCCCAGTGGGAGTTGCAGAGGGGCCCCCAGGTCCCGAACATCTTCATCTCCACTCTTCCTTCACAAGAGGTCTTGCCATCCACCAAGTGCATTTCTGTGTATCCTGGAAGAAGACAATGGTTTTTAAAAGCAGGCTGTGACTACCTACCCCCCAGCCCTTTCACAGTATGGGAGCAGATTGAAGATGCTCTCTCGGTCTCACTTGAACAGATGACGCCAACATCCCTGTTGTGGCTACAAGTCCCGGTTGGGCGAGGGGCTACTGGGCAGAGAGAGAGATGGGACTCATCGCCCCGACACTGGAATTCTTCAGCCCAGATCTCTCCAGTTCCTTTTCCAAAGTGAGCCCCTCCCAAGATAGAGATGGCCCTGCCACACTGTAACTGCCTGCACAGCACATTGGCAGCTTCAAGAGAGAAGTCGGAATCACAGACGGTGCCCCATGCATCTCCATGTTTCACCTCAACACGACCAGAGCAGGGCATGTCCCCTCCGACCAATCTGGGTTCCCTGTGGGCTGAAAAAAAAATGACATTCAGTGCGAGAGAATATAATTCCAAGGTCTTCACTCATGATGTGATAAGGCAAGGAGGGAAGAGTTGGAATGAGAGACCAGGGTGCTCACTGATTTTCCATACTTGTTCTCAGTTTTTCTGCCTAGAGTTGAACACAGTGAAGTATAGGTCTCCTCACTCTTCATTAAACCAATCCAGTCAAGAATAGGCTAGAACTTTGGCTGCTGGGACCAACCACGGCTGAAGTCACCATAACACCTCATTCTGTCCGGGATTTTCCTTGCATTATTTAGAACATTGAAGACCACAGACATTGTGTCCCCACCATCTCTACCTCTTAGCTCTGCATTCAGTCTTCTACCCACTGCAATCTGGATTCGGCCCCAACCATTTTGAATGGCTTTCAATAAACGGTTTCAAGGTACTTCCGGCTTTCAAAATGAACCTTAGACCTTTTCCATCCAGTTGGCACCTGGTAAACTCAATGTCAAGGAACCTTTGTGGCACAGTGGGTTAAGCATTGGGTGCTAATGGAAAGGTTTGTGGTTTAAACATACCAACCACCCTGTAAAAGAAAGGTAGTCTGCTTAAAAAAAAATAACGTACAGCCTTGGGAACCCTATACAGCATTGCTACTCTGCCTGATAGGGTCGCGATGAGCTGGGATGGACCCAGTGAGAGCAGGGTTTCAACTAGATATGGGTGACTCTTGTTGCACCTCCTTTCAGGCTGACAAGGCCTTATCAGAACTCTTTGCTTATCACCAAATCCAAGGCCTGGCCTCAATCATCTTGTTAGAGTTTTGAGTCTATTGGCGAAGACAAAAATAGTAATCATAATAATCATAACAAAAATAGCTGTCAGCTGCGGTCAAGCTAATGCTGACTCATGTGTAGAGTAGAGGCGTGCTTCATTGATTTGTCAATGGTTATATTTTTGAAGTTGATTGCTAGATTTTTTTCCTGCAGTATCTCTGAGCACCTCAGACTGTTACCCTCTCGGTGTACATAATCCAGGGTCTCTATAATAGAAGTAAATGAACAAAAAACAGAACTGCATTGCCATTGAATCCATTCCAATTCAGAGCGACCCTGGGTCAGGCTTCTGAGGTTGTAAATCTCTCAGGGAATAGATAGCTACACCTTTCACTTGCGGGGTGATGGGTGATTGGAACCTGGTGGGGAGTACTCCAAGCTTACCTTGAAGTGCTACCAGAGGTCCTATGATAGGAATGGCAGCTGAGATTTTGAATCACCTGTTGTGGGATTACTGTGGGGTAGGCATTGCTTTGGGTTCATGTTTTCTTTTGAGGAAACTACAGCCGGGAGAGCTTTCGCAGTCCCCAATATCATCCAGTCATCAAAATGAAGAAGTGCTGATGAACACACATTCCTTAGCATAGTTATAACCTTAGCATAAAATATCCGATTCCTACTACATCACCAATTATACCCTATGCCCCAGCCTACAGATCCCTGACCCTGCTTCTGTACTTCCTGGTTTATGATGTGTTTTCTGGCTTTGTGGACCTAGAGAAGGTTCCCTCTTTTCAAGACCGATCTGTTTCTCATTCTGGGCCCCCTCCCTGAAAAGCACACAGTTCAGTAGAGCTGCAAGCATTCAAATAATAATTGGATGAGTCCTTAAGTAGAAATACAAGGCTGTGTTCGATACCAAAGTGACAAAGAAGTCAGTAACTCAGTTTAGGGCTCTGTAGGCCAATATGATCATCTAACCTGAGGTCTAAAAACATCCAAGACTGAGTGTGGCAAGTAAAGATGTGAAAAAGCAGTTTAAGAGCATGGTCATGATGTGACGTGATATAACTGAGGAAATGTAACTAATTTAATGTAGCCAGAATTTAACATGTAAAACAAAGAAATGCCAGAAATAAAGCTGGAGAAATGGAGCTCAGATTGTGCTAAATTAAGAAGCACAGTCATCCAAAGAACTAAAAGTTTCTTTTAAAATAAAAACTTAATCTGTTTCTGTTGAGTCCTTTTTGACCCTACAGAACAGAGCCGAAGCACCCCATAGTGTTTCCAAGGCTGTAACTCCTTACAGAAGCAGACAGCCCGACCTTTCTCCCAAGGAGCATCTATCTGGTAGGTTTGAATTGCTGACCAATTGGTCTTCAGCCAAGTACTATAACCACCACACCACCTGAGCTTCTTCTCTTTTAAAATACTCGGGTGATCCAAAAATCTTGGAAGATATGGACTATTTTCTTTAAATCTTCTTTATTTTAAGGAAGGAACTGTATTTTAAATTGGATCTCCAAAAATATTTGCAGATGCTTGCTGTCAAATATCACACGTTCTTACGACCCCCTGACGTGACTATCAACATGATCCAAGTAACAGTGCAACTGCCTAAAATGTCTTAGAAGACATTCTAGATACGGTTTTCTGCCATATGTAAAATGTCAAAACTTCACCGACTTATCCATCAAACCCATACAAAGCAATTACCTATACAAGTTTGAGAAGAAACTCTAAATACAACTTAGCGTTTAGAGCAAATAGCAGCTCTACAAAGGCAAATAATTAAAGACTCTAGAGTTGGAAGGTCCTTAATTTCTTCTAGTCCAATTGTTATTTGAGGAGGAACTTTCTCAAAGATATCACTGACTCATACGGACTCAGACCCACTCCACCTTTGAAGAGATCTAAATCATTAAATTAAAGAGTTGCTTGGACCAAGCTTTCCTGTAAGCTCGGGCTCCCCTATCTGATTCCATCTGAAGCAAAATAAAACAAACCACAACCAGAGAAAGAAAGGTGAGAGAGAGGAGCTATCGTCTCTTCCATGTTGAAAACTATAAAGCACTTGAAACAAATCCTTTCTATGCATGGCCTCTTGATTCCTATCATATCTGAGTCCAAGATAGAGAGGAAATTCTCCTGCCCAGAAAATGGAATTAATCCACTTCTCTTCCTAACTATTAGGAATGTTGAGACTCCATACTCACTCAGCTTTTATTCCATGAAACTACTAGTAATGTATTGATTTACACTATGAGTTAATTTTCTTATATTATTTACTATACCTATATGGTGGGAGTCTAGAAAACTAAGCCAGTGAGAGATTTTTTTTTCCATGCTAAATCTATAACTGTGTTTTTATATAAGAAAGATGAAGTGATTTTTTTCTGCGTGGAGTTAGGACCTTTCATCAGAATGTTAAGCTTTCCCTTACATGAGTAATTAAGTCTGTATTAATTTAAGAAATAATAAGTTATAATCACTACTTTTTGTTTAATAGCAGATGAATCTTACAATGTGATTTAAAGAAACATGATTACATTTTGTTAACTTCATATTTTCTAGACTTTGAAACATATCTCAAAAATAAAAATAAAAACAACCCAATAACAACAAGCCCAAATCACTGCCACCAAGTCAATTTTGATTCATAATAACCTTATAGACAGAAGTGTTTCCCAATCTAAGCAAAAATGTAGCACTGCTCAAAATAAACTTTCTTAAGGTCAAATGTCTTCCTACTGCACATTTACAACAAGCACCAACCAAATGTCTGGAATTCAAAGTTCTTTTGTAACCAAGTTTTCCCCGATCCTTCTGACCAGTTCAACTAATCCTACACACCAGATAAATCATTGCTTTATCTCTGTAATCTTCCTGCCTTGTTGAGTCCTTCTGGCCATTTCCAGCCATATAACCCCTCACTATGAAAAAGCATAACTGTATTTTCACAGACTAGAGAATTTGTGGTTTGGGCCTGAGGCACAGATGTGACACTTCCATCATTTCTTCTTGGAGATCTTTGGAAAACATCAATCAAATCAAAAGATAAAATTGCAAACACAATATCTAGTTAAACAAGGAAAACACTAAAACCCATGAGTCAAAATCTTCAGAAGAGCTTCTGAAAGCTTCAGAGATGTAACAAAGGCATCTATAAAAGAGAGCTGAGAATGCTCATGACAAACAGCAGACAAAAACATAGCTCTGTAATGTAAAATATGCATTTTAAATTATGAACTAAAATTTGTTTACAAGGCTGGTGCTAAATGTAAGAGCCCTGATGGAGTAATGGTTACGAGTTGGATTGCTAACTAAAATGGCAGCAGTTCAAAACCAGCAACCCTCCGAAGCTGTTATAGTTCCAGAAACTCAGGGGGTCCTGCAGGGTTGCTATGAGTCGGCATCATAGCAGAGAATTTGGTTTTGGTTTGGCTTTGTTTTTCAGCACAAAATGAGCATTAACACAGGTAGGACAAATAAAGCTCTCCTTTACATTAGAAAAACAAACAAGCAACAACAAAGAACACCTCGTCACTGTCTATCTCCATGTGCTGGAGATAATGTAACCGAAATAACCTGGAATCATAGTTATGATTTTATACTTGGAGTATAGAAGATTAAAAGGATAAACTTAACTTGAATAGTTAAAACTTTGTCAGTTGGGTCCTCATTTTGATACAGGCTGGGCCTGACCTGTTTTTCAACATTTTCTATATTTGTTTGTTTATTCACATTAGGGTTTATCTCAGAGGTGTATGTCATTGGGGGTCACCCGCTTGAAGTTGTGTTATATGTTGTTCTGTGTTTTGGTACATGAAACTCAGGACTGATGAATCTCTAGGGACAGCAAGCAAAATAAGGGCTTATAGGGATTGGGTACAGTCGTGGTGGGGATGAGAGGGGGGGGTAAAAGAGAGACGATGTCAAGGAGTCCAGGAAACAAAAGAATGTTTGGAAACGGACTGTGGTAGTAATTGTACAATACTGCTTGATGTGATTGAACTATGGTATGGTATGATATATGTATTAAATCACAAGAATAACATTTTAAAAATAATAATAATTCCTCCCAGCCTAAAATATAACCCTCCTGCTAATACTCATAGCTTCTCCAGAAAAATCCCTTGCTACATTGATGAGTATGGAAATGAAGGATCTGTAAGGAGTTATGAATGAAGCACAGAATAAGATCAAAACAGAGAAAGAGCAGGATTTTTTTTAATTCAAAAGAAAAA